GCTCTTCGGTGTGACGGGAAACTGCGCTGCCTGCAGCAAGCTCATCCCCGCCTTTGAGATGGTGATGCGCGCCAAGGACAACGTTTACCACCTGGACTGCTTCGCATGTCAGCTTTGTAACCAGAGGTACTCAGAATTCATTTTGGCTTCTAAAAAGCTGTAAAACCCTCTTTCCTGGCTATTTATTTAACAGGCGGGAATTATATTAATACACTTTCCTTAAAGCAATTAATCTCAGCATTTTTTATTTTCTGTACACATTCATTCAGTGCCAGAAACAAGCCACTGCGGAGAAAGGTCTTAAAACTATTGCTACCTAAAGGAAATGCATCTTGTAACGGGACGTGATAGGAAATGAAAACGCTCTGTAAACCCTTAGTCTTCTTCTTACTCATCTTTTCTTTGTTGTTTTTCTGTCTTTTAAAAAGTAGGTTTAAAGTAACGTTGCTTTTTCTTACTGCTTCGGTGAGCACACGCTTTGGCACAGAGGCGGGTAGACAGGAATCTGCAGTGGGCAGCGTGTGTTCATTTTATTGTTCATATTTATAGTTGCCCTATCTCTTGATTTCTCGTCTTGGATCTTAACCTTGTTATATATGTGCTTTTTAAGTTGCTTCCAGTCTCTTTGGGCACCGGGCCAGAGACAGCTAATAATTAAACACTTATCAGCATTGGAGAGGCGGCATTGAAGAAGAGAGTGTTGCACAGTGAATCTAAAGACCTAAATTCTGGTCTGGACTTTGCCCCTAACAGTATGCATGACCCTAAACCAACAATATTAGGTCTCCGGGCCTCAGTTTTCTCATTAGTAACATAAGGGAGCTGGATTAGTCAGTCGCAGAGGATTCTTTCAGCTCAAAGTCTTATGACTTCATCCCATTTTTCTTTATTTCCAGTGGGAACTATGTACTACTGGTACCTGTTTTATGTGACAAATGCAGAGGATATTAGAATGTTAAAATGTACATATCATTAAAAATATATCTCACAAATTAGTACACTTGATGGGTTTTGATGAAAATAAATCCCATGCGAGTGTGAAAACACCTGGACATAGTATATAATCAGAAAATATTAGTTGCGTCCAGTTCTCAGTTTTTGTCATCTGCTCTGTTTTACTGTTCAGTGCAGCGTCTTCTTATGAGGCCCTAGAGAGTAGTGGAAAGGATACGAGATTTACAGTAAGAACTGGATTCAAATTCCAGCCCCCCCTCAAATCAGCTCGTGATCTTGAGGATGTTACTTAATCTCTCTGATTTTGTTTTTCACACCCTTAAAATAAAGACACTAATGGCTGTCTTACGGATTTTGAAAATTAAATGAAATAATTTATATAATTATCAGGAATAGGTCCTTAGAAATTAGAATTAGAAATTAGAACAACAGGTTCTCAAAACTAGTTCTTTTACCTTGATATTTATAACTTTTACCAAATAATATTTCCCTAACTTGGCTTTACACAAGATATATATCTCGATGATGCCGCCTGCTAAAAAGATATTCAGAATGGGATTCGGTATACTTCGCTGCATACAATTTATCCAGGAAGTAATTCAAGAAGTCATCGCACAACATCTTGAGTCTTCATAACAAATGCCAGGAATCAACATAGTTTAACTCAGTCTGTGGTGACGTTTAACTAAAAATAAATGGGCAAATGCACATGTTGTTTATTGTATGTAAGGATATGAATAAACAAACACAAATATCACACATCCGTACAGACAGTTAAAAAATACAGACACATTTATATACATGTGTTTGTGCAGAGATACATTTTGAAAGAGTATTAGTAGTAAATTTAAAACACTTCTGTTTACTTGTCACACTGATCCACTAATAGCACCCACTAATAATACACTTACCTTCATGCGATAATAACATTTACTGCTTTTCTACTGATAAAGGTTACATATTCATAGTAGAAAATTTTAAAAGTACAAAGGGATAAAGAATAACATTGTCTCACCTGGCTGGGCGTGGCTCAGCAGTTGAGCGTCGACCTAGGATCCAGGCGATCGGGGTTCGATTCCCGGTCAGGGCACATGCCCGGGTTGCGGGCTCGATACCCAGTCGGGGGCGTGCAGGAGGCAGCCGATCAATGACTCTCTCATCATTGATGTTTCTATCTCTCTCTCCCTCTCCTTTCCTCTCTCTGAAATCAATAAAGATATATTTAAAAAAAAAAAAAAAGAATAACATTGTCTTATACCTCACTATTCTCTCACTGTTCTCAGAGAAAACATTTTAATATTTTGGTGTGTAGCCAACTGTACAATTCTTCATACATATATGACAAGTGATATATAGCATATACTTTATATTATAGGCACATTTGAGCAGATTAAAGGAAAATAACAGGGAAGAATCCTAATGTTTAATATTTGCCTTTTTCATTTAATATAGTGTGCCTTTTTACCTGCCTTTAAAAATTCTTTTAAGATATTTTAAGCTTTCTTGTGTTCAGTTTTATGGATAGAGTTTCATATAATAAATCATCAGATGTGTAGATTGTTTCTTCAAATTTTTATATTACAAGTATTATAATACAGTATGAACTTTATGAGTAAACAAATACTATAATCTGGGTCAGGATGAATTCACAGGAGCAAAAAATTAATTAGGCAAAGTATGTAACAGTTTAAAGGCTAATGTTATATATTGCAAAATGCTCTCCAGAAATGTTACACTAATTATTCTCACACCAGAAACGTAAAAACTATGCATTCAATCACATTCACTCCAACACTGGGAATTATTTCAAAAGAAATCCTTGTCACCTTAAGGGGTGAAAGATGGTATCTCATTATCATTTTAATTAGCATTCATTTGCTTACTAGTGGCCCTTTGCTATTTCATCTTTTAGGGAACTGCCTGTTCATGACCTTTGTCCAGTTTCCTATTAGGGTGGGCTTACCTGTTTTATTCATGTTCTACACAGAAAATTAAAACATCATTTGAGCGCTAAACCCAGGCTAAATTCTGTTATGATGCAAAGCAATTGTAGGTCGTTCATGCTATTTACAAATCGTATTTTTTTATTTTATTTCACCACTGAAATAAAAAGTCGCACTCACAATTCCGTCTGTCTCCTCAACAGAACTCAGTCAAGTAAGACAAACACTCCTAAATTTTAACTCTAAAACTGTTCACACTCTTATTGCTACAAAAGACTATTGTAGTATCATCATTGAAGTCCCTAATATATTTCTGTGTTCGCTTCATTTATTACATGCCATAATGGGGCTGCATATCTCTGGCTCTGGCTGTGCACAATTAGCACTTAGTTATTCTCTTGCCACTTCAGCCCCAACAAGACAAACTTCCCTACCGCAGGAAGTCAGCTAATCTTCATCAGCCAAGCAGAGCAGACAGATTCTGTTACTCTCGATACAGAAGGTTTTCCACATAGGAGACTCAGCTTTTACTTTGACATTTCCTTAGGAAATCCTCTTCAATAAAGCCATATGCCACCTGAGCCTATACTTTCAGTAGCCAGATCATGGTCACAATATTGCACCTTCTCAGTGAACCCCAAGGCATATAGGGAATTTATAGGCACGTTCCCTCAAGCAGGCTTTATTGACATCTGAAATTGTAGTGTTATACATGCTTATGAGTTGTATTTAGCATCCATTTCATGTTAATTTTAAATCAAAATAATATTAGTAGGATAACATAGGGTGTCCCAAAAAATGTATATACACTTTGAATAATTATAAAGGCAGTGTTTATTAAAATGCATTTTGTTTTCAAAATATAATAAAATCAGCTGTTGAAGTGTGTATACATTTATCTGGGACACCCTGTATTTCTGAATGTTTAAAAAATATTAGCAATAGTAACCTGGTTGTCCCTTGTGCATACCTTCTCTGCCCTTTTTAGAGGCTAAAAATGTTGAGTCTCGAATTAAAAATCTAAAAGCTTCCGTATTTTGAAAGGAAATCAGAGGACAGTTATTTTGGGTGTCTTGGATAATAATCTGAATCTCAATTACAATTGGAGAATTCTATGTCATAGCTAATTTCTTAAAGGTGAATAAATGATCCCCCTTAGAAAATTCTGTAAAACTAAACAATAGTTTTATAAGCAATGAAAAAGATAGGCTTGTTTGTAATGAAACTGGCTCAAATATGTAAAATCATATAACATTTCATGTTCTTTTCTTAAAGAATAAAAACTCGGTGCTTGGCCCTGTAGGAACAGAGGGAGTCAAATCTAGTTTCTCTCTCAAAGGGGTTCTGAGCCAGGGGAGAGAGGCACGTCGGGGACTCCCAGGGGAGAGTAACTGGTGCCGGTGGAAGAGAGGTCCTTGGCGGGAGCCCTAGGGAAGCGTCGCTGGCTGTGCTGGGTGTCATCCAGGGCCTCCCTGAGGCTAGGGGGTCAGGGAGGGTGCCTGGTGGCGGGTGGGGAGAGGAGGGAGCCAGGAAGCGGTGAGGAAAGGGAGCCCCAGACTGTGGAGCCGCATGAGAGGCGCAGGGCTGTGAGAGCACCTGCATGGGGAGCTCAGGGAGCCGAAAGGAGCTGGGTGCGCTCGGAGAGGAGGCCCGGGGCTGGGGAGCAGTAGACAGTGGTGAGGGATGGAGTGAGTGAGGAGCAGGAGATGAAACTGTAAAGGCTTAAGGGTCAAAATGAATACAAATTTTAATTACTGCATCTAAAATCCCTTTGTTATTTAAAGCTGTTTGATCCTGGAATAAATCTATCTTAACCAATATTTATTGACCACCCATCTCAAGCGGTAGTACAATTTATGGTGGTGTTTCACAGCGTTCAAAAGAAATAAAACTCATGGTCATTTACCTCCGCACTACTGTCCAGATTGGGGCATCTGTTACACACTATGAGAAAATTTGAAGTGCCAAAGTAAATGAATGATACACTAATAAATAAGTGCTTTGGGAAAGATCAGAATGAGTTAATGTGGTCAGGGAACATTGATGGAGGGAATGGAAACTAAAGAATTGTTAGAATTTAAGTTAGATGGTATAAAGGACGAAATATCCCTGGCTAGGTAGCATTTCAAGCAAAGATGAAAAGATTATCATTGGCAAATAATAATGAAAGCACACTCTTTTTCTACTTTATAGATATGGAAACTTATTTTCAGAGGTGTTAAGTAACTT